GTGGTGTGATTGTGTAGGAGCTCCTCACTGCTGGAAGCAGGGAATAACCCAGTGCTGCAGCACATTGCCTGTTGATGCTCAGGCTGTGTTGCTGACTTGGTCTCCATGGAGAGCAGTGGGATCCTTCCCAGGCCTGCATCTCATCTGCCCCTGCTTTGTGGCCTGGAGTCAAACCTGGGCAATAGTTCTGTTCCTTGGGCATGCTGGAGTGCAGATGACTTTTGCTAAAAAAAGGGCCATTCCTGAGCCTTGCCAGAGACTTTTACAGGACCCAGTGCTCAGTTTTCCCTTCCAGAGCATGGTCTACTTCTTTGATTTAAGTTTGCTAGCTTAAAGCAGTTCTGCATGGATGCTGAAAGCCCACGCTCCTAAAATAGATCGAGTAGAACGAGCACTTTAGTGCTGACTCCTCTTCAGGAGAGGAGAGGGAAGGTAACAATGAGCAGATGGCAGGTATTAGTCATATCACCTGATGTATCTGAGCACCTCAGACCCCATGGCACAAAGGTGCTGGGGGAACCTAGAGGGAAGGAATCCTCCCAGCAAACCAGGCTGGCTGTTGGAGTCGCACAGGATACAGGCAGAGTGACCTGAGAAAATGAGGGGACTTGCAGCCAGATGCTAACCTGAGGAAGGGATGTTCACAGAGAGCCCTGGCCAGAGCCTGGGCCTGCATTTATCTGCCCAGTTTTCCAAGCCATTCCCTCATGTATTTGACAAGCCCTCAGAGCATCACTCCTTGGGGCTCCCATGCTTTGTTCCCTCTGCACAAGGGGTAGAAAAAAGGTCCAGGTACCTCAGAAATAACTGAATTCCCCAGTTTCAGGATCAGCTGGAATGACATTATCCTAGCTTCTGCTCTAATAAATGCAGTGCAGAAGCTGCTTCATCTTTTCCTGTAGTATCTAAATTGCCAGTGTGCACCTTGCAGTCAAGCTGGGCTGGCCCAGCATCCCTTCCCTTCTCCAGGTCCTTGGTATCCACGTGTTGGCCCTGGCCCAGCTGGCAGTGGGCTCCCAGGAGAGCCTGGAGATGTTCCCTCCTGCTGTGTGCTGGGAACATAGTGTGGCAATGAAATGTAGAATCTGTGCAGTCCCTTATACAGCAGTGGCTTCTGGCAAACTTGACACCATGGAGCAAGTAGGGCACGGAGGTGCCTGCAGTGGAAGTGTTGCACTTCCAGCTGCCTGCTCTGGCTGCATTGTTTGTATTATCATTTACTTCCAACCCAGCCTGGCCAAAAGGCAGCTGTGGGCACAGTAGAGGGAAGGGAGGTCCAAATCTGGGCTCTTTTGACTCCCCTGTGCAGAGATGGGCTCGTCAGGAGTCACAGCATTGATATGCTCTCCCTGAAGAATGGCTTTTTTAAAGTTTTTTATCCCATTTGTTTTGGGTTTTTATTGTTTTAAATTTTCAACAGCAGAGGCTGAATTGTGGTCTCCTCCTTTTTCTTGTCTTTTGTTTCAACTTTTTGGCAATAATTCCTAAAGAGCTGCTCTGCTGGAGTTACTGCCATAATTTTTCACACTTGTGCTCAGCCCTCTGCAGAACCCAGGCACCCTGTGGGCCTCTGAATTACAAATCCCATTTTGGTGGCACCTTGCATCCTTGGACTTCAGCTTCTGCCAAGCACCTCATGAATGTAGGAAGGGAGTAAAACTTCTGCTGTGATACATAAGGGGTTAAACTAAGCTCTGTTTATTTGTGTTGATGCATTAAATTGTGCCAGAGCATTTGAAAATGCAGCAGTGGACAGGGCAGCAGGCAGTAAACACCGTTAAATGACAATACTGTTCAATATTTGCTGTTAATTGAGAGAGGCAGCAGCTGCTGGTATGCAGCTTCAGCCGGGATGAATTAGTAATGAGTCTGTAACTGGGTGCTTTTTTTTCTGGTTTAAGGTTGCATCAGCCCTTTATAGTTCAGTAACATGATTGGGATAGAAATAAAAATCATAGCATGCCCTAAATTGAAGATTTTGTTTTGTTTTTGTTTTCCAGTGAGTTGTCATGGAGCTCGGTGTCAGTGATAAATTTGGCAGCAGTAATAAAACTGCTTTATGTTTAAGGACCAAATTTAAAGATTTTGGTTAGCTTTTCCCACGTGGCAGCCAGTGGGAATGCAGCAGGCAGAGCAAGCTCCTCCTTTGAAACAAGGCACTTTTGTTGGGTTCTCAGATGTTTTCAGTTCAAACAGGAGTTTTGGTTCAAGTTTCTTTGCTGGCAGTGCTGCAGGACATGGGGTATGAGAGAGTTGTGTCCCTTGCTGCAGGAGGAGAGGGAGCACTAATTCAACACTTCCTTTGTCCTTTCCTTGCACTTCTGCCATGGTGTGTGTTGAGCTTAACCTTTCAAAACTTGCTGATAAGCTGTTATCAGCCAACAGTTAAAACAACAAACCTTTCCACCTTGCTGGGTTGGGATAGGGACTTCCCAAGGCTTCAGAGCCATGGTGTGGAACAGGAACATCATTAATCCAGAGCAGCAAGGCTGGGGGCAAAGTTTTCTCTCTGAAGAAAGCAGCCACAGCTGCTGCTTTCATGCTGTTTACGTAACCTGCCCTGTAAGTATTTATTTTGCACAAAACGCTTTATTTTGAGCTGTAGATGTTGTTGTGAAAGGTCAAAACTCTGTTCTAGTGGTTTTTAGCAGATCTGAAGTGGGGTACAGGAAATGAAATTCCAGCTCAGTGGAAAACAATGCCAACAGTCCTATTGATTTCAGCACAGCTCGGCTTTCATCACAAGTAGAAGAATTTCGAAGCAAATAATGTTGTGTTTGTTCAGTTTGTTAAACAAAAATCCATCTGCAGGGGTTTGCACTTGAATCCAAATACTTGGAATTCTGCTGCTATTTTGGTAGGATACTAGATTGAAAGAATTCTTTGGGTCCACAATGATTATGTTAAAGGAGAAAAAGAGAATTCAATCAGCAGGTGTGTTTGTGCCCCTGTTCCCAGTGGGGGTGGTTTCTGTATTGCACACCTTTGGCCTTTGGGTCTCTCCTGTTCCCATTGGCAGTTTTTACACTGTCAGGAAGTGCTTTTATGCATCTTTAAGAGCTTGAGGCTGCCACACACCATGCCGGCTCCTGGACTGGATTATAGAGGTATGAAATCTTTCAGGTTGGGTGTGGGAAGCAAGTGCTAAAAGCCAATCCAAGGCTATAAAAGGTGGTGGTAAATGGAACTGCAGGAAGAGCTGAAGGTCCTCCAACCCCACAAGTCCCTTCCCATTTAGGCACTGACTATTCCCACCTTGGCTGCCAGTGATAAATGGTGATTTCAAACCTGTCCTTAAAACCTGTAATTTTTTTCCCATGTGAAATGCAGTAATTTATTCCAGTGGCATTTGGCCAACTTTGGGCATCTGGTGTCTCATGTTTTTTATGAACATCTCTCCAATTTTCTCTGCTGTCTCCTATACATGTATATGATTTGTGTTTACAAGGATAAGGTATTCCAATATATTTTTTCCTATTTTGTCTGGTTTTGATTCTTTCAATCTTATTATTGCTTCATCTGTAGTATTGCTTACAGTATTTGTTTTCTTAAGCAAGAAAATAAACCTTATACTTACATGTATCATTTCCTGTCTTAAAATAGTGGGAAAAATTATAATTACTAGCTTTTGAGGCTTTTTAGATTGATTTAATTGAACCATATAGTTTTCTTTTGAGTAAAGGCAAATATTTACATTTTTAATACATAAAGTATAAACTCTAAAGTTTGTCTAACAAAACTGTTAAGATACATGTATGTTTACTCTAGAGTTTATTTTGAAATTGTTCTGTAATTAAAATAGTTAATGCAGGCCTGATATGGGGCCACACAGGCTCCAAATTGGTACTTTCCTGTGCAAGAATATTGTTATATCATCATCCTCCTGTGAATGTAGCCTGACCCAGACCTCACAAGTTTTTCCTTATTGGGAATGTGGAATTACCTGTCCTGTTTTTGTGGCAAGCCAGCAAAGATAAGGAGAGATATAAAATGAAATGACAGTGGTGACAAAACTTAGTATTTTTCTCAAATACAATTGGCCCTTGCTCCTACTTCAGAAAAAAATTAGGAATGAGCTGAACTTCCCAAACATTGGGGGTGGCCTTGGGAGCAGCTGAATTATGGTGCAGAACATGAGGCAGGTGGTGCCACATGGATTTTTTTTGTCTAAAGTCTCTTAATTCTGGCAGGTCACTGTGCTGGTATTTCTAACCCTCTTCCTCAGTGTTGTAGTAGCTTGGTTGTGTCTGAAGGATGCTGAAGCATATGAGGGAAACCATATGTGTGGGTAGAGAGGAGCTCTTTAAAGACCAGGTAGTTTTGAGTTTGCATTAAAGGTCTGTAATTTTAGGGTGTTGGTTTATCTTTAATTTTATGTAGAACTGGGCTAAGTCCTGCATCCTGTTAAATTTGGGGAGAGAGGGGGCTGGGGTGGTGGAAAAAGTGCAGTGGGCTCAGGACTGGGAGTCTCAGTAGTTGTTGTCTCTCTCCTTGCATGGTTCTGGTAGTAACAGGAATAATGATATTTTGAGTTATATGTATGTAGGAGGACTGAAGTAAGTTATGCTTTTCCTAAAATTTGCTTAAAATTAGGAAAACAAATAGCTTGGAGTTTGAGTATAAAATTAGGTGTAAAATATCATTAATAGATTACCTTGATGTATGTTATTTTACAGGCTAATCCAATCCTGATGTAATTTTGTAACGTGGAAAGCTCTGAGCTCTTTTACTGGAGCTGCTTGCTTAATTTAGATTAAAATTGTACCATAAAAGGATTATAGAGTGTGTGCCTGTGCTAAGAAAGGATGTACTAAATATGCTGGGGTATTTTTCTACTCCCAGCTCCTTTTTGAAAGTGCATACTTAATTCTGGATGTTCTCTGCTGCCTTCGAATGTGCCACGTAACATCACGATGTGCTGCGGGGATGTGTTGCCTTGGTCCTGGGAGCATTTTTTCAATGCACTTCAGCAGGATTCTGAGCTTCCTTGTTCTTTCCAGAGAGAAGAATTCAGTGCTGGACTGTCCTAAACACTACCCATGGTGCAGCTTCCGAGGACAGCTTGATTTCTGTGACTTGAAGAGGAGGCACATGTGCAGTGAGCCAAGAGGACATGGGCTTCCAGTGCATCTGGAACAATGATCAGGTACCAGCAGTTGTTGATATTCAGATTGTAGTTACCAGTCAGAAGCTCAAAGAGATATCAAATGATAATGTGCTCACTCCTGCAGTTGTCCTTAAATTCTAAATACACTTGCCTTTCTAAGGTAGGGATGAGCTGAGTTCACCTTCTTGTTTTATGTTGTGTCCAAAGCCATTTCCCTGCTGAACCTGCAGAGACCTGATGGGATCCAGCTCCCATGGGAGTAACAGGAAGGAATAAGTGCCAAAGGGGTTGGTGCATAGATGGAGGTGAAGTTAATGTTTACATTTTTCCAGTATAACTTGGAGTCTGAAAGCATTTGAATCTATTAATTTGGGTGTATTGATTTTGGGAGGGGACAGCTTTAGCACATTATTTTCCATTCTTATGAGTACTTTTTTATGGTATTTCCCTGGTGATTGGCTGGAGAATGCAGATTCTCAGAGGAATCAAGCCTGTTGTAGCTGCAGTAGAGACACCAGCAAAGTTCCAGAAAAGCAGAAATTCATTGTTTATTTTGGATATTGCCATTCCTAGGAATATATAATCTCTTGATTCTGTGTCATATGTGCAATTTTTATTTTAACTACATTTATCTTATGTATTAAAAATTAAGTGGTAAAACTTGTATGTTAGCAAACCACATATATCTGTCTATATGAAGAGCTGAAAAGGAGCTAATTCTATAAAAACTCTGTAAGCTTTGGGGAATTAAGTTCAGAAGAATATGTGAAAAATAGTTGCTTGTTTCTTTGTAGATGCTGCTTGAAAAATCATGTTTTCTTGTCTATAAAATTATTTAGAGTTTTCTTCACTTGGTGGCTGGGTATCTGTGTAATGCAAGAAAAAGTAGTTGTTTTACTCCAGGAGACTGAAAATGGGTTTGTTCTACACATCTTCTTTACGTTTGTGTGATCTTTCTTGTACAGAGATGCTTCATGCAGAGAAAGCTACAGATACATAATTTTAGGATGTGCCTGAGCCACCTCTGAGTGGGATTGCAGGAAGATGTAAGATGGAGCTACATTTTAGGATTTGTTTCCTAATATAAAAGCTGTCAATTTTTACCCATTCTGTGAGGAGTGGTGGGTGCTGTAGAGGCAGAGCATCCATATATTTAGATTCTGGCTGTCTCTTGTTACGAGCTATAATTAAGGTGAATTATTTTGCTGAAGAATTGAATTCTCCCTTGATTTGAACCTGGTTCCATCTCTGTGAAAGCAATTAGTTGCTTGAAGCACCCTGTCCTTGCTTCATCAGTGACAATTCATCAGTTGCTTCTAATTGATCTGATTCTTTGTAGTTAATAGGCAAGGCTCTCAATATGGGAGTGCTCTGTATGGCGGTGCTGAGTAGAGGAGGCTTGAGGATGGAAGGTCTGGCCCTAAGGGGCACTGTGACATTTATAGAGGACTGGAGGTTATAGAACACTCTGTGAAGCTCTGGAGGGTCCCAGGGTTAATGCTTCAGCTGATGTGCTTTTGAACGTGGCTCTCAGTCAGCCTCTCTTAGCCATGACTGGAATTTACTGATGTGGTGCTGGTTTTTCCCAAGATGGGCAAATACAAAGCTGTGCAAAACAAAGCTGGTGGTTTGGGCAGGAGTATTAGGACAATGGCAAAGTTTGATGTGCTCCTTGGGTGAAGTCTGTTTAACTTTTTCTTGTCCCTTAAGATCAGTTCTGTGATTTAATTCAGAAAATACTTGGGGTGCTGTGCAGTGACCCCTTTGGGGTGCTTTCTCCATCACGCTGCAGTGTCCAATGTTGTGCTTGAAAACAAAGACCAAACCCCACTGCTGACAAGTTCAGAGTTCTAAACTCAAATATTCTGCTATTTAAAGTGATGTCACAACTCCTGAACTGAGTAATTCTGCATTGTGATACCTCACATAGATCAAGAGGACTCTTCTGGTCTGCAGTGAGCACTGGGGAGCAGAAGCCTCTTGGGAGGGAGGAAAAAAAGGCAAAACCTACTGAGAGCTTCATGAGTGACATGGGTCTGGGAGGAAGATGCTGAGCAGGTTTTGTTTGCCTTGGGAATATTTACATAGAGCTGATCCACTCTTCTTGAAGGAACTTTATCACAGTACTACAGAGAAAACTGTTGGTGCTAAATATAGAGCCTTATTCTGTCAGTCTCATGACTTGAGTTCTGCTTTCTTAATGGGCTTTCTCCGGTTTTTGTAGGTTTTTTGGTAGAAAATCTGAATATTACTCCTCAAAGGGGTTGTGTAACAGTAGCAAGGACAAGAAAGATTAAATTTGGTGAGACCTTGCACTGCAAAAGATGAGAGGAATTTTTCAGCTTCTGCTGTTGCTGTAAAGCTTTCAGTGCCTCAATATCTTCAGAGAAGATTCCTCAGAGGTTCCAATGGTTCATCTTGATCTTTTGCATCAAAGCAATATCACTATTGCTGGACAGCTTTTGTGAAATGATATTTGTTTCCTTCCTAATAGAGGAAACAACTTAAGTTCCTTAGGCTGGAGCTGTTTACCATTTAGAAAAGTTCTTCTCACAGCCTAAGTATTTTTTTCTTCTTGCACTTTGAGTCCATTGCTTTTCCTGGTCTCTGTAGATGAGGAGCAGGACTTCCCTCTTTCTTTGAAGAAACCATTTGTGCGTTTAGTAGAAACATACCATATCTCACTCCTAGCTTCTCATTTCACTCTGTCCAGCCTGGGCCACCTCTCTGAGTTACCTCCCCATCCCTCAGAGCTCACCTGGTGACCTGGCTGCCTCTGCTTGTCATTCTGGGGTGGTTGCTCACATTCCCAGCAAGCCTTTCCCAAAAATGGACTTTCCCCAAGGCTTCATCAAATCTGAGGGGTCAGGAATTTGTATTCCTGTCAATGGGTAGATGTTGCCTTGTTTGTGACAACTGGATATTTATAATTTGTGCTCAGTCTCTGATCCTCTCCATCCTCAATCCTTATCTACCGTGCAGCTGCTCAGCAGTTGTTTCTATATTTATGCAGGTGGTTTTTTTTTCCTGAACAACACTTGACCTTGGGGAATTGGACTGCATTTTTTAATCACTTCTTCAGTTTCATTAATTCCTCCCTGCAATAGCTTCCCATTTATGCATGTTTTTTTGTGGCAACAACATAAATTATAGGACTTTCTTTCCACATGGCACTAATACTGAGGCTTCATTGTCAGCTCTCATTGCTCTTTGCAGGTTCCTCACCTGCCAGAGGAAAAGTGACAGTGGCTCAGCTGGCTTTACAAGTGTCCCTTATAACTGCTATTGATGAATACTTATTTTAAAAATTCTTTTCTTCAGTGTTTCTCACTGCTGGGAACCCTATTAGAGTTAATTATTTTTATGGAAGACTTGATTTCAGCCTGTTCTCTGGGGGGGATATTATTTTGTGCCTGTTTCCCTGAATAAATAGATCTGGTTTTCTCTCATGGTTTCTGCTCAGCTGGCCATGACCACTGTCAATCTGGGGAGGCTGTTGCTCACTTGCTGCATTAGCTGCCCTTTCAGCAGCTGTAATGTCTCTTATGTAGCACCATTTTCCTTCCTGATGGAATTCCAGAACTTCTCTTTATGTCCCAGGAGCTGGGCTGCCATCCTTCAGGAGAAGGTAGTCTGCAAATGTAGTGTTTTGAACTTTCCCAGCCTCATCAATGCATGTTCTTGACATTACAGTGTTATGTCTTCTCCTAAAACTCCACAGACTGGAACTGCAGAGGCAGGGCTCACCTGGAAAGAGGAGGGGAAGCCACTCAAACTCCTTAAAAAAGGAATCCTTACTAACCCCATGCCTAAACACATACTCCTTTTTGCCTTGTCATTTAGTGCCTTTAGTGTCTTTATTTTACTTTGCTCTCCATTCCTGGAGTGTTGCTGAAGGCAATACAAGGTTAGAGGAAGTCCTTGGAGTTGTTATGTGCTCCTACCCATCGTGAGCACACTCAAAACACGCCAGGCAACAGTGTGGAAGGTGCTTTGTGTAAGTAACCTCACTCCTGGCTAACAGCAGTTGTAGTACTTTGATTTGGAGACTGTGCAGTGGTGGTACAAGTGTCTCTGAGTTTTCTTGAGTAGCTTTTAGGGATACACTTACAAGAAGGGGAGCTTTCCCTTGGGGTATTGCAGATCTGTGAGTCTGTGCCTGTTTCCAGCTCCCTGCCTTTGTGTTTAAGCAGACCCAGAGAGCTGAGGTGTCAGGGAATGGCTTGGACTCAATGATCTTGAAGGTCTCTTCCAACCCTGTGATTCTGAGATTCAGAGATCTCTTGGTGGCTCACTGAAGCTGCTGTTCAGAGAGCAGAGGCACATCTCAAGTTTCTGATCTGAGAGGCTCTGAGCCATGTTCTGGGCACAGCCCTTTTGCTTGTGGAGGAGCAATTGGGCACCAAAACCTACCCCCAGCTTTGTTTTACCCCTTAATTTGTGTGGGACTCCTCTCCCAGCCATGGGCTCTGGGCTGTGGTGACTCAGGAACGGGGTCTGAAATCACCAGGGCTGTTCTGTTGTAAACAGCCTCCCTTTCCAAACAGGCTCCTGACTGGAAGTGCTGCTCACCTTTCTCTGGATGTTGCACATGTCCCATTTTGGAGCTTTTTCTCTTTTCCTCTGGTCAAGCTTCTCAACTCTCAATGCTGGTCTTGTCAAATAACAGTTTTTTTCAACTGCCTCTGCAGGGAGGACTTCTCAAGTCCCAGGTCTGGGCACATTCTGGATAAAATCCTAAGTGATAAATACATAAATTTCATTTCTGGTCTTAGTAAAGTGCCATTGAGACAATTGTGTTGTATTTGCCCTATCGAGTGTGTAAGAGAGATACAAAATTACAAAAAAAAAGGAAAAATAATAAAATAAATTGCCCTATACTACTGTGTTGCATGTTCAAATTTTCAATTTTTTCACAATATTCCAGTTTATTTCTGGAATGTGTGGGGCATCAGATAGGGTCCAGTCATAAATCTCTGTAAACAGCACCTTTGGAAGGGTGTGAAATAGAAGCTTTGCTCCTTACAAAAGAGAAAAGT